AATAATGTGGGTTCTGAACGTGTTTCATCCATTAAATAATATTAACAGTCGTGTAATATTTCTTCTTGTGCTCGTTTCTGCTGCAGTAAACTGGGATTGAGACGACAATATTTTGTTTTATTGAGAGTAAAGAGGAGGAGGCACAGGAGTAGCGAAAACGTTTGGGAATGGGGGGGGGGGGGAATATAGTACGAGTTACGATAGCAGCCAGGGGCCAGATTCACGAAAACAGTTACGCAAGGACTTACGACCCTGTACATCTTTTCTCAATCTTCGGCGGCTTTGTTTACAATTATTAAACAGTTAATGAGCTCCGAAGCACCAGGAGGCTGTTTATAACAATAACAACAGTTGATTGGCAAGTTTTCATGCTTGTAAACTGTTTAATAAATGTAACCAAAGCCATTAAAGATTGAGGAAAGATGTACACGTTCGTAAGTGCTTGCGTAAGTGCTTTCGTGAATCTGGCTCCAGGCCGTCCGCCTTGCTGACACGATGTGTATGTGCTGGTGGTGTTGTGGGGGGAGGAGGGGTGTGGAGGGGGGAGGAGAGGTGTGGTGGGGGAAGGAGGGGTGTGGTGGGGGGAGGAGGGGTGTGGAGGGGGAGGAGGGGTGTGGTGGGGGAAGGAGGGGTGTGGTGGGGGGAGGAGGGGTGTGGAGGGGGGAGGAGGGGTGTGGTGGGGGAAGGAGGGGTGTGGTGGGGGGAGGAGGGGTGTGGAGGGGGGAGGAGAGGTGTGGTGGGGGAAGGAGGGGTGTGGTGGGGGGAGGAGGGGTGTGGAGGGGGGAGGAGGGGTGTGGTGGGGGAAGGAAGGGTGGGTAAGAGTTAGCCTAGATGGAGGGAGTGTTGTGTTGATCCCTCTGAAATACTGACCAGAAATCCTTCCCCAATAATTGGAAAATAAATGAGTATCTGTGTGTGTATATGTATATATGTGTGTATATGTATATGCATGTATAAATAAATCAATAAATAATAATAAAAAAATAGCCTTAAACAGAACATGTGTACGCACCTATTTGTGTTTGCGGGGGTTGAGCTTTGGCTCTTTGGTCCCGCCTCTCAATTGTCAATCAACTGGTGTACAGGTTCCTGAGCCTACTGGGCTCTATCATATCTACCACTGCCTAATGCATTCCACCTGTTAACTACTCTGACTCAGAAAAAAAGTTCTTTCTAACGTCCCTGTGGCTCATGTGAGTGCTCAGTTTCCAAATGTGTCCTCTTGTTCTCGTACCACCCGTTTTAAACAGTTTATCTACCCTGTCAATTCCTCTGAGAATTTTGTAGGTAGTGATCATGTCTCTCCTTACTCTTCTGTCTTCGGGTGTCATGAGGTGCATTTCACGCAGTCTTTCCTCGTAACTCATGCCTCTTAGTTCTGGAACTAGCCTAGTGGCATACCTCTGAACTTCTTCCAGCTTCGTTTTGTGCTTGACAAGGTACGGGCTCCATGCTGGAGCCGCATACTTCAGGATTAGTCTTACGTATGTGGTATACAAGGTTCTGAATGATTTCTTACACAGGTTCCTGAAGGCAGTTCTGATGTTAGCCAGCCTTGCATACGCCGCAGATGTTATTCTTTTTGTGGGCTTCAGGAGATAAGTTTGGTGTGATATCAACTCCTAGATCTTTCTCTCTGTCCGTTTCATGAAGTACTTCATTTCCCATTCGGTATCCTGTGTCTGGCCTCCTGTTTTCACCGCTTAGTTTCATTACCTTATTTATATTTACTTGGGTTGAACTTATCCTGTGTCTGGCCTCCTGTTTTCACCGCTTAGTTTCATTACCTTATTTATATTTACTTGGGTTGAACTTTAGTAGCCGTTTGTTGGACCATTCATTCAGTTTGTCTAGGTCATCTTGTAGCCTCCTACTATCTTCCTCCGTCTTAATCCTCCTCATAATTTTTGCATCATCGGAAAACGATGAGGAACGATTCTATACCTTCTGGGAGATCATTTACATATATCAGAAACATTATATATCCAAGGACTGAACCTTGCGGGACTCCACTGGTGAGCTCACCCCTCACAGTGACTCGCTGTCTTCTGTTACTTAGGTACTCCCTTATCCAATGGCGTACCTTCCCTTTCACTCTTGCCTGCATCTCCAATTTTTGCACTAGCCTCTTGTGTGGTACTGTGTCAAAGGCTTTCTGGCAATCCAAAAATATGCAGTCTGCCCACCCGTCTCTTTCTTGCCTGATTTTTTAATTCAATTAATCCTGTGAGGCATGATTTGCCAGCCCTGAACTCATGTTGATGTTGTATCACAAAGTTCCTTCGCTCCAGATGTTCCACTAGTGTTTTTTCGCACAATCTTCTCCATCCACTTTCATGATATGCAAGTTAGGGACACTGGCCTGTAGTTCAGAGCCTCCTGTCTATCTTCTTTCTTGTATATCGGAACTACATTTGCAGTCTTTCAAATTTTTGCCAGTTCACCTACTACCAGTGATTTGTTATACACCATGGAGAGTGGCAGGCACAGTGCTTCTGCTCCTTCCATTAGTATCCATGGTGATATTCCATCCGGATCAATAGTCTTTGTCGCATCCAAGATTTTTGGATGTGACTTTGGATTTTCGCAGATTTTTGTGACCCGCTCCCCTGTATAGTTCTTTGTATAGTACTGTGTATGTTGGGTGACCATCACGTGGAAAATGAGATGTACTAATTGAGCGGCCTACCATGTGTGGAGCTGCAGTTCCCCGACCATGGGGTCTCGCCCACCAAACGAATACTTGCTCTGTACCATTATATCCAACCACTTGGGCTGGACGGTAGAGCGACGGTCTGGCTTCATGCAAGTTGGCATTCAATCCCCGACCGTCCAAGTAGTTGGGCACCATTCCTTCCCCCCCCCCCCCCCCCGAACCATCCCAAACCCTTATCCTGACCCCTTCCTAGTGCTATATAGTCGTAGTGGCTTTGCGATTTTCCCTGATTATTCCCTCCCTCTGTACCAATAAAGATGAACCATCACTTCTTAACACACACACACACACACACACACACACACACACACACACACATTAACATTACATCAACACATCCCATTACATTAACATCACATTAACACACATCAATCAACATTACCTGTTGATTGACGGTTGAGAGGCGGGACCAAGGAGCCAGAGCTCAACCCCCGCAAACACAACTAGGTGAGTACACACACACACACACACACACACAGCCAGACGGGGCCTCGTAGCCTGGTGGATAGCGCGCAGGACTCGTAATTCTGTGGCGCGGGTTCGATTCCCGCACGAGGCAGAAACAAATGGGCAAAGTTTCTTTCACCCTAAGTGCCCCTGTTACCTAGCAGTAAATAGGTACCTGGGAGTTAGTCAGCTGTCACGGGCTGCTTCCTGGGGTGTGTGTGTGTGGTGTGAAAAAAAAAAAAAAAAAAAAAAAAAAAGTAGTTAGTAAACAGTTGATTGACAGTTGAGAGGCGGGCCGAAAGAGCAAAGCTCAACCCCCGCAAAAACACAACTAGTAAACACAACTAGTAAACACACACACACACGGAGGTGTGTGTGGGGAGAAGGTGGTGGAGGCCAAGACCGTCAGTAGTTTCAAAGCGTTATATGACAAAGAGTGCTGGGAAGACGGGACACCACGAGCGTAGCTCTCATCCTGTAACTACACTTAGGTAATTACACAGTTTACACACGCACACACGCGGGCACACACACACACGCGGGCACACACACACACGCGGGCACACACACACACGCTCACACACTCGCACGCGCGCGCACACACACACAGTAATCAATCCTCCACACCAGTCAAGAACACCATTATAATAGGATTACGCGCCACAAACACCACCATACTGGGCTGGTCAGCTGGAAGACTAAACACACAAGTCTGACTATAGCGGAATACTTCTCGAAACCTGTCACAGGTAAAGAGAACACAAATACATCACAGTATTGATGACTGTATTGAGCCCCCTCATAATACAATATTTTATGCAGCTTCAATTTTAGCACTAGACTAAACTTAGTAAACAAACTCGGGGACAAACACTGTCAGGACACTGGGAAAGTACAAACTAGAGTCGTCACCGGCGGCCCGAGGACAAACAGGAAAGTGATCATGTTCCTCTCCCACACACTTACGGGGATATCAAACATGTTATCTTGAGATGATTTCGGGGCTTTAGTGTCCCCGCGGCCCGGTCCTCGACCAGGCTTCCACCCCCAGGAAACAGCTGACTAACACCCAGGTAGCTATTGTATTGCTAGGTAACAGGGGCATAGGGTGAAAGAAACTCTGCCAAGTGTTTCTCGCCGGCGCCTGGGATCGAACCCATGACCACAGGATCACAAGTCCAGCGTGCTGTCCGCTCGGCCGACCGGCTCCCTAACACACTAATAAAGACAGTGCGGGGCTGACCGTCACACTCGGAACAAACACTTGATATACTGGAAGCCACTAAACCTCTTAAGTACGTGTCCAAGATATAACAATGAATATATGAAGCACCGGTGGAACTGTTAAAGAAATTCTAAAATAGTTTATTCCCCCCTCCAAAAAAAAAAAAAATACTTAATTAACCCACAAGAAAGGCAAGATGATTAGATCTTCACCGGGAAAATTAGGGCTCAACCCGCTTTACTGCTTTCCATATTATTCCATATTTCCGGAATGATATGGAAAGCAGTAAATAAATCACAAGTGTGGCCGGTGTTGGCTGTGCTCAAGTGTGGCGCCAGCTGCCCGGCCCAGGAAGGCGGCTGACTAAGAGCTGGAGCCGGCCCAGGAACAACGAAGTTGTTGTGTAGAGTTTTAGTATTTCTGTTATCAAACATTATGAACAAGTGGAGGTGAGGAGTTACACTGTCAGCCTCCCAGGCCAGATAAGCTGCACGTCGCCGCCTTCACCCTGGCACACACAAAACAATCGTACTAATGGACACGGAAAAGTTTACCTTACCTACTGAACCCTTCAACGGATCTGACGCACAACGTGCGATAACGGCTACTTACCGACAGGCGTCGCTTCCCCCTCCGTCAGGCGTATAACAATCTCGCTCTGGCCGTTCAAGACGAACCTCGGAGGGGTGTTGGCTGCCACAGGTGGCACCAGAGGCCCCACCAGTGCCACAACAACCACCACCGCCAACCACGCCTTCTGTAGTAACAACCAGGGTCGCCCCACCCGCTGTATGGAGGCGGGTGTAGGCCTATGGGTGCCCTGTGTGCCATGGGTGTCCGTGGAGCGGGGCGGACACTCCCGTATAAAAGGTCGTGGGTCCGGTCGCACGTTTCTCATGTCTGAAATTTGCGTATCTACACTGGTGATTAACTCGTAGTGCAGCGAGTCATCGTAACGAGGCACTCTTAACGGGACCACTGTTGCCACTTGTGGAGCAGAGAGCAGACCGACTGGCCTGGGTCTGTGCCACCGCGCTCTAGGTCTGTGTACACATTTCTCGGTCATGGCGTCACTAGACACGGCACTGACTGTGACACACGGTCTCCTCCACACGGCATCGCAGGCGCTCCGTGACGCGTCCTCAACTGTGCGTGTCGCACAGCGTACAGAGGGCTGCCGTCGTCGCGCGCACATGGTGGCAGCCGGCCCCCGTTACCAAGTCTCAAGGAAAAAATTGTCTGGCAAGCGGGGTAATAACTACACATCTCGACATGGCCGTCGGTGCCACCAGGCAGTGCGCCTCCTGGCACTGGCACACCGGGTGACAGCCAGCCTCGGGAGGCGGACGCCCCTTCCTTCACGTTGCACTTTCTTCTTTTCTCTCCCGCACATCAGCCTCTGCCGTGCGTCATGATGCTGCGGGCGGGTCTCCACACTCCAGACGAAGGACTGGGCGCCTTCGCCGCCGCCTGCCACCGCTGGCAAAGAAGGCCCTCGGGGAGATCAGAAGTGTCAGGTCCCGCCAGGACGGTGTTCTCCAGCGGTGTCACAGTCGTGTCGTGACGCTCCCCGCGCCTGCAGGAATCCACGAGGCTCTTGTGGTTCCCAGGCCTTGAACAGATTCCTTGAGCGGGTCTCAGGCAGGTCACGTGGTCGCCGAGACACGGGCTAAGGAATGGATGAGCAATTGAATCGTGCCGCTGGTAATTTCCTGCCGGCCGAGGACCCCACTCCCAGGACGCCCGTTTCACAACACCTGTGGAAGACAAGACGGACAAGTTTAATTTTTGAGTATCTATAGAGATTAATAAGAACAAATCATCCAGTACATAACAATCACTGATACAACTCCTGCTGCTCATACCGCGTGCCGCCACGAGTGTGGAGCTCCACCGTCGCAGGCTGGTGACGGTGAAGCACTGTGTTACCCAAGATACGGTGCGACACAGACACACACCAGGACGCCACAATCACAGATGCGTCACGGTTCACCAGCTCCCCCCACACACACCATGGGAGAGGAGCCAGTTACGACATGCAGAGTGATAACGACATTTCGCTGATCAAACACAAAATCGCGATACGCAACGAATTTTCAGACAAAATTACAAAGATTACACAGTTGCGAAGAATATGAATAATGTCAAGACAGAGGTACGAGCCAGAGGTAAATTTACAATAAAGGCAAATGTAAAGGTAACATTTGTATGCATGTGACAAACAAAGACTGACTTCAAGAATCTGAACAAGGCGTCATTGAATACCTGTGGCCCACACACACAGTTCAGAGGCACGCCACCATACTGGTACCCGAGCACACACACACACACACACACACACACACACACACACACACACACACACACACACACACACACACACACACACACACAGCCTAGGGGCCTCGTAGCCTGGTGGATAGCGCGCAGGACTCGTAATTCTGTGGCGCGGGTTCGATTCCCGCACGAGGCAGAAACAAATGGGCAAAGTTTCTTTCACCCTAAGTGCCCCTGTTACCTAGCAGTAAATAGGTACCTGGGAGTTAGTCAGCTGTCACGGGCTGCTTCCTGGTGTGTGTGTGTGTGGTGTGGAGAAGAAAAAAAAAAAAAAAAAAAAAAAAAAAAAAAAAAAAAAAAAAAAAAGTAGTTAGTAAACAGTTGATTGACAGTTGAGAGGCGGGCCGAAAGAGCAAAGCTCAACCCCCGCAAAACACAACTAGTAAACACAACTAGTAAACACACACACACACACACACACACACACACACACACACACACACACACACACACACACACACACACACACACACACACAGGGGGGGGGGGCCTCTAGGGGCCTCGTAGCCTGGTGGATAGCTCGCAGGTCTCGTAATTCTGTGGCGCGGGTTCGATTCCCGCACGAGGCAGAAACAAATGGGCAAAGTTTCTTTCACCCTAAGTGCCCCTGTTACCTAGCAGTAAATAGGTACCTGGGAGTTAATCAGCTGTCACGGGCTGCTTCCTGTGGTGTGTGTGTGTGTGTGGTGTGGAAAAAAAAAAGTAGTTAGTAAACAGTTGATTGACAGTTGAGAGGCGGGCCGAAAGAGCAAAGCTCAACCCCCGCAAAAACACAACTAGTAAACACAACTAGTAAACACACACACACACTCGGTACAGGGAAAATGTTGTACCCATATCCATGTCGGTACAGGGCAAATGTATCGTCAGAATGACGCGCTCATTATTGCATGCCAGGGGTCACATTCTACCCCCCCCCCCCCCCCACGACGATTTTTGGCACTGCCCGCCAGCTACACAGCTAAATATTTTCAAAAACAAACTTTTCAAAACTTCTAATCAGTGAATAATGGTGTGTTTTACTATATCTGGAAAATTAACACATTTCCAGCTATCCCTAATTTGCCCGTACTGGCATAAAACTGTGCACCCGCAGCTTGGAAGGTTTCTCAAGGCCCCACATCTTTTTCAGAGTAGACGTGTAACTATACTTTTTTAGAATTAACACCGCTAAGATCTTCTCACAGGCGACCACCCACAATCGACTTGAGAATGGTCCAGGACGGACCGAAACGTCATCGTCCCTTCACCTTCTAGTGTGTGGTCTGGTCAACATAATTTAGCCACGTTATTGTGACTCATCGCATACATGTGGCCACCCACACATTTGACAATTATATATTTTGATAAGTGAGATAGAGAGAGTAGATAGAAGGGATGGATAAATGGATTGTTCGATGGATGAATAGATAGATGGATTGATGAGTAGGTGGATATAGATAAGTAGATGGATATGGATATGTATAGATGGATAAATGGATGGATAGACGGATATATGGATGGGTAGATGGATAAAGAGATGCATAGATAGATGAACATATAGGTGGATAGAGAGACCGATAGATAGATTGATGGAAGACAAGGACCCGAGCGGCTCCTTCAGCTGGTAACACCATTTAAGCTGATTATTACTTGACATCATAACACGCCGAGAGAAAACCGGATCCGGCTAATGGAACCGGCACCGGGTTCCGATGAAACGGCATTAAACACATGAATGAACAATTCAAAGCAGTTCACAGCAAAAACTCATATTATTATTATTATTATTATTATTATATATATATATATATATATATATATATATATATATTTTTTACTTTTTTTAATTGAAAACAAATCAAACGGAGTATATGACAGTCACACGTTGGCATGCATTACGTCCCTATAACAAGATATATATTTGCTACTGCGATATGAAGGTCGTTCTCTCCATTGATAAAACACACACACACACATCTCCAGTAGCAAGAGTGTGTGTGTGTGTGTAATTACCTAAGTGTAATTACCTAAGTGTAGTTACAGGATGAGAGCTACGCTCGTGGTGTCCCGTCTTCCCAGCACTCTTTGTCATATAACGCTTTGAAACTACTGACGGTCTTGGCCTCCACCACCTTCTCACTTAACTTGTTCCAACCGTCTACCACTCTATTTGCGAAGGTGAATTTTCTTATATTTCTTCGGCATCTGTGTTTAGCTAGTTTAAATCTATGACCTCTTGTTCTTGAAATTCCAGGTCTCAGGAAGTCTTCCCTGTCGATTTTATCAATTCCTGTTACTATTTTGTATGTAGTGATCATATCACATCTTTTTCTTCTGTCTTCTAGTTTTGGCATGTTTAATGCTTCTAACCTCTCCTCGTAGCTCTTACCCTTCAGTTCTGGGAGCCACTTAGTAGCATGTCTTTGCACCTTTTCCCGTTTGTTGATGTGCTTCTTAAGAAATGGGCACCACACAACAGCTGCATATTCTAGCTTTGGCCTAACAAAAGTCATGAACAATTTCTTTAGTATATCGCCATCCATGTATTTAAATGCAATTCTGAAGTTAGAAAGCATAGCATAGGCTCCTTGCACAATATTCTTTATGTGGTCCTCAGGTGATAGTTTTCTATCTAGAACCACCCCTAGATCTCTTTCTTTATCAGAATTCTTTAAAGATTTCTCACATAATATATAGGTTGTGTGGGGTCTATGTTCTCCTATTCCACATTCCATAACATGACATTTATTAACATTAAATTCCATTTGCCAAGTGGTGCTCCATCTACTTATTTTGTTCAGGTCTTCTTGAAGGGCATGACAATCGTCTAAATTTCTTATCCTTCCTATTATCTTAGCATCATCAGCAAACATGTTCATATAATTCTGTATACCAACTGGTACCAACTGGTAGATCATTTATGTACACAATAAACATCACTGGTGCAAGAACTGAACCCTGTGGTACTCCACTTGTGACATTTCTCCATTCCGATACATTGCCTCTGATTACTGCCCTCATTTTTCTATCAGTCAGAAAATTTTTCATCCATGATAGAAGCTTACCTGTCACCCCTCCAATATTTTCCAGCTTCCAGAACAACCTCTTATGAGGAACTCTGTCGAAAGCCTTTTTTAGGTCCAGATAGATGCAGTCAACCCAACCATCTCTTTCCTGTAATATCTCTGTGGCTCAATCATAGAAACTGAGTAAATTCGATACACAGGATCTTCCAGATCGAAAACCATACTGTCTGTCTGATATTATATCATTTCTCTCTAGGTGTTCTACCC